AGAGAGAGAGAGAGACGCCGACACGTGATACATTGCGGCTCCTGGCGGATTCTGAATTGATATTAACACGTTTCGTGTCGCAATTTTATGTGATTTGTTATTCATGCTATGTGGATTGTTGATAACTACGAAATATGTTTATTATATTTTAAATAAATTGTGTTTCATTATAATGAGAAAAATATGAAAAATAAAAATTACATATTTTTATTATAAAAAAGCCTGAATAAAGCTCTGAAATATTTTATAATCTTGTTTCTTTTTATAGCTAAAATATAGCTTTTTCTACCAAACTTGAACGGAAAAGCCCAAGTAAGCATAAGTTATTGGTAATTCTGGCGGCATGAAAAGTGTCAACTAAATTCAAATTTGTCGATTTACTTTCGAAGCAATAAAAATATATATATCGTCGATTAGATACACCATCGTCAACGTATGTCAACGTTGCTAATCGTTATCGGGGTTATCGTGTTATCAATCCACCGACCCTTAGAGATTAGCATGCTCTAACGGATTAACATTGATTTTGCACGAAGAAGAATCATTTGGTTATGTCGCTTCAAAGAAGAATTAAAGAAATCTTATTTTCAGCGAACAGTAACAGTTGCAACATATTAGTAACACTACAATAAATAAATAAATTTAATCGTTTCCACGGGAAAATGACGATAATATTCTTATTTCAACCGCGACGCGGTTGTTTACGCGACAAATTACTGCCACTGTTTATCAGGATTTCTCATTTTTATTTCTCTCGATAGTATCGCCGATCAACCCGTTAGCAACCGCGACCGCAGCGGCGACGAGAAATGCAAAACGATGCAAAAATACCACATTCACATTCAGCTGTTCTCACCGGAATGCACAATGCGACTCTTTCACGCGGTCGCGTGAAAAACAACGATACCGACTTCCAATTTATTAAAAATCTTTCAAAACATAAATTCACCGTAAACTCCGTCTTACACGCGGGAGGGAGGAAGGGGAGGACTTTCCCCTCTCTGCCCGTCCGAGATTGTTTCTCTAACACTCGTATCTCATCTCGTATTTCCGTGCGATCTACGTGGATTCAACTGGAAAAATGTCCCTTCTTACGTCGCGAATGTACCGAGCCACAGCCACACCATAACGAGTGCGTGACAAACTAATGTGCAGTTGGCATAACACTGATGCAATGAGGTCTCGCCATATAGGAGTACGAGATAATAGTCGCGATCGCGACCATGCCCCTCCAGCTTCCCAGCTTTCCTCCCCATTCTCGCGGAATATTCAGCACGCGGATACGCGACGGTGTCATCAAGTTGGAAACGAGTCGTACGATTTGTTGGATACGTCTAAAAAGAAAACAGCGGGAATATTTCGATCGGGGGCGACATGGATGGGGTTAATTTCCCCTGGAATTAAACAATTATATTAAGATAAGGTGACTAAATATACACAGAAAAAAAAAATTAGTCTAAATCAAGCCTATATATTCTCATATATATATAAGCAAAAATATTATAATCTTCATAGAGAAGATTTTAAATTTTGAGTTGTGCAAAAGTAATAATTACATTACACAAATTAATCAAATCAAAATTAAAATTTTTAAGAAGATTGTAATATTCTTGCTATAGAGAGAGAACACTTGTCTGAAGATTAATTTTCTTCTACTCTCTTTGAATCGGAAAAGAAAGTACAATTATTTTTGACTTTTTCCATGAAAGCTTTTCTCTGTTTTTTTATGCAATTCAAGCAAATTTGAGTGTGAATGGATTTACGTATCAGGAAGCTATGTGTAAGGGGATCAACATTGAATTAACCTTCCACCCTATTTAATTAATCTCGCTTATACTCTTTTTCTATCTTTATCGAGTGATCTATGTATTTAAATCACCCTATGTATTTAAATTAACTTAATAATAATAAATATAATTTAAGATAATTATAAATAAATATATGTGCATATGTGTGACTCCAATTTAACATGATAATAATATAATTATTTCTAATAGTAAAGAAAGTAATACAATACACATACAATTTAAAATAATGTCTCACATTACTTACAATTTGTTTATCGATTATTATGTGAATCGAATACAAGAGTATTCATTAAGAGTATTGGATAAGAGTAATATTTCATTTGTCATATGCTAAATTTTTTAAATGTGTTGATTGGCTCTATAATAGTAAAGTCTTCAGGTCTCCAAAAACTTTGTAATCAATCTTGTAATCAATCAATGCATTTAAAAATTTTTGTACGACAAATGAAATCCTAATGATATAAATATTCTGATAATAAATATTTTGATGTTACGTCAAAAAAGCAATACTTTTGACGAAAACATTTACGGAAAAAGAAGGAGAAAGAGACGATCTGTGTCCCAATAAAATCCTAAAGCCCTGCGCACAATGGAGGAAATATTAGAAATAGGAGTAAATATTAAATTTTAGAAATAAAAATTCAGAATAAAAATTAAACGTAACGCACAATGAATATAAATAAATATAAGATATGACTATATGACTATTTTATACTTATTTATATTCATTGCGCATTATATTTAATTTTTATTTCGAATTTTTAATTTCCAAAATTTAATATTTATAATATTATATATATATATATAT